TTTCACAACACGTCACCACAGCTCTGACTGAGACTTTGAGTTCCGCAGCTCTGACTGTGCAGATGTGGTGTAGGTATTTTCTGCTGAGATGTTTTTGTTCTGACACACACACACACTGACAAATGAAATGCAACCAGACCGACCAAAAAATAGATGAAGTCCAAACTACACCTGTTACCGCATCTAAGCACAACCACCGAGTTATTACTGTGACAGAGGTGAGACTCAGCCGCTGCAGTACACAGGTGTGGTGGTGTTTCCTAAAACACACTCTTACATGAAGTTTTCCCAACTGTTAACTCTTCTATTTTTACTGATTTCCCTGTGTACCAGATAGAAACATACTGTATACAGTATGTGGCCCATGTGGGGCACATGGCTCTTTTGTTTGACCTGAATATCCCACGGACATAGGACAATTTTCAGGGTATCATTTTTATGTCAAGATTGACATTTTCCCTGAGCTCAACCTTAGATGTTTTCTTCTAGAATATGTACAGATTACACTTACAATTCACTTTGTCTAGTAGGAATAGTCATATCGACAGATACAGTAAGTGACACAGTCACGACTGGAGACTCTATGGACAAGTCAACATCTGTTCTGATGGAGACACTCAGTGGATGTGCTGCTCCACGCTCTTCACGTGTCTGAACGCCGTCGTCCTCACAAACCTCCTCCCCAGCAGCTCGTCCACTTGCTGCTCTCCCCCAGATGTCGCCTGTCAACAGGTGGACATGTGAGGGCAGCGGGTCAGGACAAAGGCGGCCTTCATTATCCCCACACTGGCTCTTCCGCAACACATCCACACATGCTCCACTTCATGGCAGCACTTTTCTCCATCTGTAAGAGTCGTCCGCCTCCTAAAACCTATTAACTAAAGCAGCTCAGCAGCTCCTGACAAAGAAGAGGATTATCGTAGTGTTTGTTCCGAGACATGGGGGAGAAAAAGGAGCACACATAAAAAGTGAGACCTTAACCAGATGCTGCAAATTACCCAGCGGGCCGAGTTACTGGGAGCTGAATTCCCACGCCTCGTTAAGTGAGTCACTGGAGTTGTTTTCACGGTCGTTGGGTGTGAAGAGCAGTGTGATTGACTGGCTCCAAACATTTTCATCTACCCACGAGCCTTTGCTGGCACCGGCCTGCTCTGAAGTCTGCACGACTTGGCACTTTTCACTCGGTCAGTTGTCGCTGCATTTGGAAGTCAGGGAATCTGCACTTTTCACTCGGTCAGTCGTCGCTGCATTTGGAAGTCAGAGAATCTGATCCTGTTACTTTCACTCTAGTCTGTAGGCCACGGTGTGACGCAATGGTCACGTGATTTCCTTTAGTGGCAAAAGATAGAGTTCAAAGGTCACGTGTGGGTTGAAAGTTGTAGGAGGTGATGTGCAAGTTACAGTCGAGTTATCATGCTTGTGTGTGTGTGTGTGTGTGTCTTTGTGTCTTAATGGAGGAGGACTTTGGTAAGGAGTGTGAGGGGGAGGAGAGTGTTACCAGGAATTTCCTGGTGTTTTTCGGGCAGTTGGTCGGGAGCTGGTCAACTTTCCATTTTCTTCTGTTCACACACACAAGCAGTCTCTCTGAAGAAAGTGTGTGGGGGTTTCTTTGTCCCTGCACTTGGGGTCTGTTGTCATATTTACGACAGGGCACTTTCCGACGCCCCCCACCACCCTCCCCTCCACGTTTAGCACTTAGGCAGCATTGTTGCACTTTCATGTTGGGTGCAAGTTCTCCTGACAACAACTTGGAGCAAGTGAGATGTGTTAAGTGGGCAGGAAATCATTCTGTTTGCATTAGTGTAGAGAAGCAGGACACTTCTGCACGTGATTCAAAGACTTCGGTTTCAATTTTTTGAGATGCATTTAAAAAATGTCTTTTCTCCAGGCTAAGAGGAAGCTGGACCTAGAAGACCCCCTGTACCTCCCAGATTTCCGATCACCAAAAAGCAAAAGCAACATCACAGCGAGGGTACCTAGCCCAAGAAGTGAGTACAAGACAAAGGTGATGTGTGAGGGGAGGGGCTGGACCCCGGATGGTTCTTAATCCACCAAACCAAAAACAAAGCAAAATTCCACTTTCATCTAGACGTCTTAGCATTACGTTAAAGCTGTAGTATGCAGGGTACTCTTATTCATAAAAACCCTTATGTTTTTTTTTTCTTAATTTATAAAAGAGAAAAAAAAAATAGAAAACCCAAGCACCGAAATAAATTATTAAACCAATTAGTAGTACCTCTGCATTTATAACTATGACTGTGTACTAAACTTACTGCATAAATGCATATCAGTGTTACAAAGAATAAATCAATTACAAAATTATAAAATTTTAAAAACATTTATTATTAACATTCCAACAATCCACAATATAAAATAAAATTAAAACATCCTGTAATGAAGTTCTGTTCTCTCGTGTCGTTTGTTTTCTCTCAGCTCCGAAGTCTCCAGGTGAGAGGACGCGCTACGACACATCCCTAGGTCTCCTGACCAAGAAGTTTGTGGGTCTGATTGCCGAGTCTCCAGATGGGGTTCTAGACCTGAACTGGGCCACAGAAGTTCTGGAGGTTCAGAAGAGACGCATCTACGACATCACGAATGTCCTGGAGGGGGTCCAGCTGATCAGGAAGAAGTCCAAGAATAACATCCAGTGGCTGTGAGTAGAATCAGATCAGTAGAGAATTCACGACGCTTAAATACATGGATAAAGAATAACTCACAGATCAAACTGAAGAAACGCAGAGGAAGGAAATTAGATTTGTTTGATCACTTTGATTTCTCAAAAGTTTACTTGACTTAACTCTCTATCACCATGCTGGGAATCACTTTATCTGCCCTCTGGTGGCTGTAACGAAACAATACACGGTTTCACCCCCTCGTGCACATTCAGTCATTTGTGACTTCTCATTTACTGCGATGTATAAGGACCATGTTGAAAATAAATAAAAAGATAAAATTAAGTCGAACATGCTGGGATGACACGTGTTATACCAATATTCCAACTTTATTCCCATAAATTTACAGATTCTTCTCTCGTAAAAATCTTTTATTCATAAATTTCCAACTTTTATCTAATAATTTATTTTCTCTTTTGTGTGTTCAATTAATTTGTTTATTGTGTTTTACCTCCATTGTTTTAATACGCTAACACTGTATGTACTTTTATCCAGTCTGTCTAACATATCTTAATTTTCTCTGTGGTGTTGAACCAAAATGGTTTATTGTAAGGTTGTTTTATATTTATATACTTTCTGGTCTCTCAGGGTGGGAGATGTATTTGAAGGAGGTGCAGGTGGAGGACAGAAGGCCTCTGCCCTCAGGAAGGAGCTGGGAGACCTGGAGCGAGCGGAGAAATCCCTGGATGAGCTGATCCAGTCCAGTACAGCTCAGCTGAGACAGCTGACTGAAAACAAAGACAGTCAAAGATATCCTTTACACACGTTTACCACACAGAACACACATCTGCCGCTACTCTGGATTTGGTCACATTACGAATATCCTCACAGCCACCACTGCCGTTACCATCCTTGACCCCGAGCTGCACGCTGGGATACGTGACGTACCAGGACATCCACTCCATCGACAGCCTCAGAGATCAGACTGTCATCGCTGTCAAAGCTCCTGCAGAGACCAAGCTGGAGGTTCCAGAGACGGCCGGGGTAAGAGTTCATCTGCTGCTGCCACTCTAAACCACAGAAATCCATGAGTGTTTTTTTTTTTATAAATATGTCTTTACGAATAAAAGTAAGATTGTGTTCTGGATGAGGTTTATAAATACAAATACAGTGATACTATACTAACACCACAAGAATGAAGAGGGGAAATATTATACATACTAAGGTAATGTTAAACCTGATCTGACTGTGTGTTGTGTCTTTCTCCCAACAGCAGGGGTCGCTGCAGATCTACTTAAAGAGTAAAAACGGACCCATCGAAGTCTACCTGTGTCCAGAGGAGGGTCTGGAAGAAGTCAGTCCAGTGAAGAGTCTCCTCACACCGAAAAAGGAGTTTCCTTTGCCTCTCGCTCCTCCATCTACCGCTGCGATAGCGCCATCTAGTTTTACAGTCAAAGAGGAGCCAGTTGAATGTAAGCGGAGGTTTTGTTTTGTAATATAATAAGATTAAAAACAACAACAAATTGAACAAGAATTGTAGACAGTTTTCTTTTAAATAATCCTCAAAATTTTCTTTTCCCCAATCACAGCCAACGCAACTTCACCAGCTCCTGCCTCCTCCTCCTCCTCCTCTCTGCTGGACGTAGAGGGTCTGTTGGGTTTACCTCCCAGTCTGCTGCAGATCACTGAGGACCAGCTGCCTGGCTCTTCCTTCACCTCAGATCCCAACACGCCCTTCGTCAGTTTCTCTCCCCCGCTGGACCACGACGACTACCTCTGGAGCCTGGAGGACGGAGAGGGCGTGTCCGACTTCTTCGACACCTACGACCTGGGTGACCTGCTGAAGAGCTGAGGTGTGTTTGAACTATCACTACGCTGTCAAGCCATAATTCTCTTTTGAAGTGTGAATCAAATCCTTTGTTAATATCCAAATTGTACATATCAATGTAAAAACCGACACTAGAGGGTGTCCACTGCAACCGTAGAACACTGTTAAAAAAAAGAAAAAAACAAAAAAAGTTTTTGCTACAAATATAAATTTTGTAAATTCATAAAATAAACATGAGGATTGTTATTTTACACAACCAGCCTGAAATCTAAACTTTTCTGCATAAAACGGTGTAAAACACTGTTGAAAACTCAGGAACCTTTTTTTATATATAAATATATATATATATATATATAGTTTCCAAAGTCTTGAATGACGCTAATTGGCCCATAGGGGGCAGCCTTGTATTATAAACGGAGTCAGCTTTAACTGCCGTGCAGCTTTACAGGAGTCAATCAGTGAGAACAAACAAGAACGGGACACAAAGATTGTTCTTTCCCACCAACCAAGCTGTGAATATTTAGTGTGGTGACAGGTTCAGACCTCTGTGATATGAAATGTTGACATGGGCCTTTACGCATTTGTAGGAGCTGAAATAATGACTCTCTCGTTTGCCCATGGCTTTATGTCAGGCTTTGTGCCTGTTTGGTGCTAGAGAGCCAGAGGATTTAGGAATTCCACTGCAAACCAGGTAAAACCAGGAACTGGGAAAAGTTCTCACGCAGGGACACTGTTTTTATAGCCAGAAAATAGTTCCTTCTCAGGTGTAGAAACCAGTTTACAGCCCAACACAGTTCAATCAGCCCTTTTTAATAAAGATTATCAGATATTACTGTGTAACTTTAGCCCAATTCTGGGCTAACATTAGTTCATTTAGCTTCTTTTTTTAGCTGTAAATGTTTTGGACCATTTTCTTTCATATTTTCTATTTTCCAAAGGCTAACCAGGCTAAACTGCTAGCTTATTGATCAGCTTTAAGGATGTTTTTTTTTTTTAATATTTTCGACTATCTTAATTTTTCGACTAATGTTGAACAGCTGGGTCTTGGTGTTTTTCCATCAAGTATTAAACAATATCTTGGCTATTATTGAGCTATTTCTGGTATATTTGTGAAAATAAAAATTTTTGGAGTAATGTATGAAGAACCTTTAGTCGTGGTTTTATCTGGTTCTACCTTGTTTTTTAGTAGCTTACAACTATTTCCTGGCCAGTTTTTAGTTAACTTTGTTATATTTTTTGGCTGATTTGTAATATTTTGTAGTCATTTTTGGCTGACATTGAATATCTGTTGACACTTTATACCGTTTTGACTACTTTCAAACTACTTCTTGCTTCACCACACCATCTTTGCTACATATTTGATTGATTTGTAATTTATTTTTGGTCTAAAGATTAGTAACTGTTTTTCTATTCTAAATTTTTAGCTAGTTCTAGCGTTTGTCATTGTTTTTAGCTGATGTTCTAACGTTGCAGTCATTTTTGCATATAGTGTAGCTATAACTATGACTGTTCGCAAATGTTTAGCAGTTCCAGAATATCGTTCTTGGTGCTTTCTGATAGTTTTTGCTAAATTCTTGCCCCCCTAAATTTGTCCTACTGTTGTGAATGAACAACAACAAATGTTGGTCACCAGTACTTCAGTAAATACTTAATGGCAGCCAAAAAAAAAGTTATTCAGGTAAATCCCTGTGCCAAACAAGCTGTGACTTTACTGAGGAGAAATGGTTACAGCGAAAACAGTTCTTTGTCCTTCAATGTTCCTGGTACTGTGCAGTGGAATCTAATAGCTGGTCATTGGTGCTTATTATACACAAACATAAGCACAACATGTGACTGAACAATATTATCAGTGTGCTGTAGGTTGGCTCTACTGTCCATTAGTATAGGTTTATTTCGTAGTGATAAACTACCCTAATGTTTCTGAGGATTTAACTCGAAACTAATAGAATCCAGCGTCTGTGTTGCAGACGAGGTTTGTTAAGTTTTTAATAATTAAGGTTTATTAAGAGGAAAAGTTCTTTTTTCCTCTGCTGGTTCTGAAATGAATGGAAATTGTTGATCAAATATTAATTAATTTACGGCCTTTGAATATGTCAAAGACATTGAATAGGCTACTGGTCCCAGCAGTTTCAGGTTCAAACTGCGGAAAACATTTTTCTGGAAAAAATCTAAAATTGAAATGTGCTGAGGTGTGTGTTGGCTTTTCCTCTTCTTTACAGAGATAAGCTACGTGTCCTGTCCTAACAAAACTTGAAAAATGGGGTTGTGTTTGTCTGTGTGTCTGGTAGTTTGGAATTTAGGTGTAATGGTGTGTTTGTGTTTGGTTTTACAGTGTAGGTAAGAGAATGTGAATTCTCGTGTGAAAATTGTAGATTGATTTTTTTTTTCATTTAAGTTGAGCATTATTCATTTATGGTATTTGTACATAACTTTTGTATTTATACCTACTTTTGGAATTTTAATGTTGTCCTCTCTGCAGACGACCCAACAATGTTTTTGTAAGACATGCAGCACTTAATGTTTTGTAACAACTGTGTGTTCTGTTTGGAATGATGAAATAAAAAAAAAAATGAAGCCATGGGTATGACTTTTGAATATTTTTGATTAAAATGTCCTAGTATATAGAGAAGTCCAAAATTCATCAAAAATCTCATCCAATGATAAGATGTCCAAAATGGCTTAAAATGTTTTACCTAAAATAAGATGTGAAATTGTGGTCAGAGTCAGACATCACCCATTCCAACCCAAGTACAGCTGGGGATGGTCTGACTGACGAGTTAGACACTTGAGAAATTAGAGAAAATACTTTTAATTTACAGGTCCAATGACACTGGAGTGGTCAGCAATTAATGGGAAAAACATTTGACCAAGATTGGTCAAATGTTTTTTTTAGGTCAAACATTTGACCAAGATTGGTCAAATGTTTTTACTACAGGGATATCTGAAATTGATTATACACAAAAAGAAACATATTAGTATATTATGTTACTGTTGATAAAATATTGACGTACAAAAGTTTCCTGAATTTTAACCAGAACAGATACATGAACATGTTTTAAGGCAAATGAGTGCATTTCTAGTCATTTTTGAGAAACTTTTATTTTCGGAGATTTGTTCAGGATTTTATTGGTATAGCATATTACTGTGATCAAAAGGTGGTGTACCAAATATTTTTTCTTCATTTTAACCACAAAAATGGACATAGCTAAGTATTCTAAGGCAATTGAAAGCATCTTTATCCATTTTGAAAAAAGTATAGTTTTTCTCAATTTTAACCACAAGAAAGTATTTTAAAGCAATGTTGGTCAAAGGTTGACAAAATTTCAAAATCTTGAGTTTTCTGCACATTTTTTAACAAATTATAGCTTTTTTAATATTGGGAAAAAATATTTAGTATTTATTATTATGTTTATGTGAATATTTTGTGTCAATTCCGGTCAAAAACTAAAAACGTTTGACAAAAGTTTGACGTTTGACAAAAATTATTTTTCAAAAAAATGTAGCTTTGCCTGCATGTTTCTCATAAAATTAGTGCACGTAGAGAACATTTTTACAAATTTTTCTGTTTAAAACGTTTTGTCAAAATGTCAGTTTTTCATGTCATTTTTGGTCAAAAACTAAACAATTTTGATGAAAAGTTTTTGAAAAATTATTTTTCAAAAGTGTATCTTTGCTTGCATGTTTCTCATAAAATTAGTGCACGGAAAGAACATTTTTACAAATTTTTCTGTTTAAAACATTTTGTCAAAATGTCAGTTTTTCATGTCATTTTTGGTCAAAAACTAAGAAGTTTTGATGAAAATGTTTGTGAAATTTCTTTTCGAAATTATATCTTTGCCTGCATGTTTCT